CATCTATAGATGATACTGCTAGATAGTTAATTAGACACGTAAAAAAATAATATTATTAAAATTTTAAAATAACTATTTTTAATAGATTGTAAACTTTAATTGAATTGAAAAAGAAACATAACATATATGTAGTGAAAAACAATATTGTTCTTTACAAAGAAGACAATAGAACTAACTAATACTATTTGGCTTGACATTCACAGTAATTTTAGATGACCTGTTAATTAGTAGACTAATCTACCATACCTATTATAAAAGGAGATATATTTTGATAATCACTCTTTTGATCTTTACTTTTTAGTGGATCATTATATCTCTTGGATATAAAAAAAATTTCTTATATATTTTTGGTTTATGTTTAATTACTAGAGACATGAAGTGTCTCAATCTCTTTAGTATTACTTAATTTTAAAAATTAATTTATAACAAAGAAGTTTTGAAACCAAATTGCACAATTAAAAAAATTATAGGAGCAAAAGTAATCTCTGCTCGATTAGTTTTTATTCAATAAAAATTAACCAAATTTCATGTGTATTACCAAACAAAGATATGTTCATCAAAACTGGACTCCAAATGATAACAAGCAAAATCAGAAAGTATGAGGAAATATCAAATGTTAAACAGTAACAAGCATGCAGGTTTGCCCGAGTGGTTAAGGGGGAAGACTTAAGATCTTCTGCACTTAAGTGCGCGTGGGTTCGAACCCCACAGCCTGCAGTTATAATTTTCTAACTTAATAATTAATTGTGATAAAAAAAAACTGTTTTTATTTACAGCCTGCAGTTATAATTTTCTAACTTAATAATTAATTGTGATAAAAAATGTTTTTATTTAAATATCAAATAAAGTAAAAATTTTAAACTTTGTATTATTAAAAATAAAAAAATCATAATTATTAATTATCTGTTTCTTTTTAAACTTGCTACTTAATTTCTCTTTTTTGTCGTTGCAGAAAAATTACTTTTTTATATATTAATTTATCGAATATTATCTTTAAAGTGATTTAATTTATTACTTTAACTTTTCTTCATTTAAATTTCCTGTTTCCATTTTTTATTGACTATATATAAAAATTAAATTAATTAGTCTCTTAGAATATTTTTTCTATGGAACATAAGGATGTGAATTGTAACACCTCAATTTCATAGGGTGTAATATTAAAACTTAGTCAAGAGAATTGAATCTTAGTTTATATAATTAGTATAGACATGAAAATAATTGATTTTCTTTAGAATTTTGAGGTTCTTGAGGTGCACCTTAAGAGGAATCACTCTATAAGAATGAGACTTTCTATTATAATAATTGAACGAGACATGAGATAATGATAAACGAGACATGAGATATTAAGAATTTTTTATTTATTAAAATTATAATGACCGCACCAATGACTATGTGCGTATTACTTCAACCCGCCACTACCAAGTCAACTCTAGTGGTTTGTTCTTGATAATTGTTTGAAACATACAGATATGCAATGTGCATCAGATACATAAAACACAAGGTTTGGATGGAGTGAAGAAAATGACATAAAAAGTGAAATCAATTATGTTTTTAAAAATTTAGCTCCATTTGTTTCAAATATAAGTTCAGGGACTATTAATTCAATGAATATGAGTATTTGTTTTGAGCTTATAATGAAAATTCAACCACCTATTACAAATTCAGTTATTAGCTCCAAATGGTATTTGAAGTTATAACTAATACTATGATACATAAGATAATTATGTCTCATGTGGGAAATATGTGATATAT